TGGACTCTCCAGCTTTAGTAAATAAACCCCTTACAGTCTAAGGATTATGCAAGCTTTATTCCTTTAATTTTCTTATTTAAAGTGTTTTCAAACTTTGTGGTGAGATTGTGTTCCTACAATTATGTCCAGTGGTGAATTATAACAGAGGCAGAAGGAGTGGCTGCCTAGGGCCCCAGGCTCCAAGGGGCTAATGAGGCTACAAAAAAAATATGATGTCAGCCAGTCTTAGCTTTGAAAATCTTCAGATGTGTTTTTCAGAGGGAGCTCAGCAAAGGCAGTCTTTGTAATTCTCCCAATAAAGGACTACTTTAGATAATCAAACAATCATACACAACACATTCCCTGTATATGGAAGCATCCTTTCAATAATGTCACAATTTCATGTGTAATCTTTAGAATATACCACTGCAAAACAGCCAGTATAAAAAAATTCAAGCACACTCGTGGAAATTCAGTAAAGCTGCTGTGCCACTCTTTAATTGCTCTTGTAAATGTGCTGTGCCTAATTCTGCGACAATTTTTGGTTCTGACAGTGTGCCAAATTCAGGTAGATCTAATTTGTGCCACTTCCACATTGTGGATCGACACCTGTGCCAAATTCAAAATAAAATACTGACAGTTTGCAGCTTACGAAAATGGAGCTAATTAAAGTGGAATCCACTGTATCTGGGAACGCTATTTAATTCATTTTTAATATACAAAGAAAACATAGCCATCCATTCATGTCCCCATGCTTTATTTTGCTGAGAAATTGTTTTTAAAAAAATATCCCTATCATTTCAGGCCATTTCCATCTTGAGTAAGGGCAGATGATTCCTGTAGCATTTACTTCCTGGAATCCATGATATCATTTACATAGTTACATAGTTAGTCTGGCTGAAAAAAGACAAAAGTCCATCCAGTTCAACCATTAAGAAAAAGGTTATAACCCTATACCCACAGCTGATCCAGAGGAAGGCAAAAAAAAAAACCAGCAAAGCATGATCCAAATTGCTCCTGCAGGGAAAAAAATTCCTTCCTGATCCCCCGAGAGGCAATCGGATATTCCCTGGATCAACTTTACCTATAAATGTTAGTATCCAGTTATATTCTGTGTATCTAAGAAAGAATCCAGGCCTTTTTTAAAGCAATCCACTGAGCTGGCCAAAACCAACTCTTGAGGGAGTCTGTTCCACATTTTCACAGCTCTCACTGTGAAGAAACCTTTCCATGTTTGGAGATTACATTTCTTTTCCTCCAGAGGTAAAGCATGCCCCCTTGTCCTCTGTGATGACCTCAGAGTGAATAGCTCTACACAGTTCACTATATGAACCACTGATGTATTTATACATCTTGATCATATCCCCCATTAATCTCCTCTTTGCAAGAGAGAATAAATTCAGTTCCTCTAATCTCTCCCAAAATCTTTCCTTTTACCTAGGCCTGAAAACCAGGAAGTAACTAAAGAAATGTAAAAAAAAAAAGTTTCAAGCAAGTAAATATGATATATACTTTCCTATCTATATTAGAACATAAGGATTAAAAATAGTCCATGTTGGTTGACATGGTTTGCGTATACACATGTTTATTCCCTTTGTTTGTATTGGAACTATAAAACCAGATGGCAGAAAGCTATATGGACAATAATGTCATTTGGTGGACAAAAAACCAAAAAATGGGGTGGGGGTTTGCACACCGCTTTGGAAATCATAACTGAAATCAGTCGCTTCCTATAACCATCAAGTAAGCTTCTGACACCTATCACCGTAGTTTTGGACCACTCTTCCTTTGCAAAAGCTCAGTCCAACAGTCAATTTAAGATCTCTCCCACTGGTGTTCAACTCGGGATTTAGATCTGGGCTCAGAAATTTGTCTTTAAGACAGATTTTGCTAAAGTGTCTTGTGTGTGTTCTAAAAGTGGTGCAACTTGTGTCAAATTCAGGTACAGGTTCTAGACAGGCACATGAATTTGGCATGCGTTGAATCACTTTTAGAGCGCATGAGAGACACTTTCGCTAAATCTGTCTGCGCTGGTCTTTATGAGTTTCAGGGAAATGTGTTCCCAATCTTTCAGGAAAAGGCTCCCAAATGCTTATCAGATGGCAAACCAGAAATGTATGTTGGACACTTAATATTTGGAGCACCCTTTGGAAAACATAACTGAAATCATCGCTTCCTTAACCATCATAAGCTTCTGACACCTCTCAGCAATTTTACTTTGCAAACAGCTCCAGGTCTCTCTTATTGGAAGACACCTTTTCCCAAAGCAATTTTAAGATCTCTCCACAGGTGTTCAATGGGATTCTGGCTCATTGCTGGCCACTTCAGAACTCTCCAGCGCTTCTTTGTCCATTTCTTGCTTTTTAATGTTTGGGGTCATTGTCCTGCTGGAAGACCCAGATCTTGGACGCAAACCCACTCACTGGGCCCTACAGTGCGACCCAAAATCCTTTGGTAATCCTCAGCATTACAAACCCAGTGAGGCAAATGCTAAAACATCATTGAACCTCATATTTTACCGTAGGTACTGTGTTTTGTTCCTCATTCCTCGGTGTAGAATGATGTGCTTTACCGAAAAGCTCTATCTTGGTGTCCACAAGACTCCCAGGGGCTTAAAGTACATTTTCTGTACCAAAGCAGCTGGGTAAGCCCCGAGCTACACTCCACGACCAGGGAGATTAGCTACAGTGCCATGGGGGCTTGGAGATGGACACCTTGAGATTGTTGATATTTTTGCCACAATTTTGGTTCTCAGGTCCTCAGACAGTTCTCGTCTCCTCTTTCTGTTGTCCATGCTTAGTGTGGCACAGACAGACACACAATGCAAAGGTTAAGTGAACGTCTCTCTCCTTTTTATCTGCTTTCAGGTGTGATTTCTATATTGCCCACACCTGTTACTTGCCCCAGGTGAGTTTACAGGAGCATCACATGCTTGTAACATTCTTATTTATCCGCAGTTGTGAAAGGTTTGCGAATTTGCTTTCTTTCCTCCCTTTTTTGTTTTGGAATAAACATGTGTATAGCAAAAACATGTGTTAATGCAATACGTTTCGTTCGTGGAGAAATATCAAGGGTGCCAACAATTTCGGCCATGACTGTATATCATGTTGCATAGCTAAAACTAAACATCAATTTGGAGACAAAGTGTATTATAATATTAAAGCCCAGCTCAACTGTATCCAAGTCATTAACAAACTGAATAATCGCATTCAACTGGATGGTATTCCCGAGTGTAGCGCGGGGTCAAAGTTTCTGTACCAAAAAGCCGGTAACCCCGATACACTTGGGCTTACCATGCGGCTGCATAGGGATTCCCTGCAGAGCTTAGCCACCTTGTCCTTCGCTCCTGCGATGTGTCCCCTGCAGCAGGTGAGTCCCCGTCCATGCCATTCTCCCCGCTCCAGCTGATGCCGACATCCGGCTTCTGTGTTCCGGTCCCTGTGACGTCAGGATGTACGGGCGGCGGCGGGGGGAAATTTGAAAATTAAACAAAAAAAAGTTCATTTTTTTTCAAAACGAATTTTACATAGTAAAACATTGCTGTTTCAAACCATTTCACATACATTTTGTCCCTAGTGCTTTGTCCTGTCCCCTGTCTGCATTTTGACTGTTCTTTCTGCCTGGAAACTTAGAAAAGTCCATGGCGTCCAAAAAGGGTCCCTTTAGGTCAAAAGCGGGTTTAGATCAGCTAGAGAACAGCGATAGTAAATCAGAACCACTTGCAGAATCGAGTGATGATTTGTGGGGAAATTCATCATCAGACACTGAAAACAATTTTGCGACTTTGCTCAGTGATGTGCGAACTTGGCGCTATATTTCAAATTTCAGTGTTTTTGGTTTGATTATATTATTGAATTAAATGTATTATTATTATATTATTATTTTTTTATGATTATTTATTAAATTATAATTTATGATTTTGTGTTTCAAATTTTATCATACCCGGGATGTTTAATAGACTCTTGTTCGGACAGATTTCAGTGAGTTATTCCTAAATATTACAGCCTACAATAAAAAAAACTACATATTTCCATGCAAAATAATGGTACTGCTTTCAGCACCAAAAATATGAAATAATCATACCGCCAGGGAGGTTAATATTCAAAGCAAGCTCACAGATCCATCCATGTCTCCATGCTTTCTTTTATTGAGAAATCGCTTTGAAAAACACGCCCCCCCTACCCCAGCAGTTTTATGATTCATGTACAATTTACTTCCTGGAATCCATCTTCCCTTTGTTCAGGCATGCAGACAGGAGGGTGTACTTAGCTGAGAGAGCCCCTCCTCCCCATGCAAGAATAAAAATGTCCATGAAGACTCCTGAATGTATGCCATCATTTTGGCCTAGGCCAGAAGCCAGAAACCAGGAAGCAACTGAAGAAATGTAAAAAAAACCCCAAAAAACAAAAAAGCAAGTAAATATGACATACAGTACTTTCCTATCTATTTACTAAGGCTAGTAGCACAAGGATTAATAATTTTTCATCTCGACTGGAAGATTTTTAATTCTGATTTAAAGTTTTACATCTCTTGCTCTAAAGTGAATAAAAAGATGCCCCTGACCACTTCCTTATTGTGTTTCTGAAAATCTGTCTCATCCTGGTGAAAATGTGTCTTAGCTGCCTTGTTAATTCTACTTTAGACAATGCTAACCTGTCCCAATTGACTGCCAAAGACTGAAGTCACAGGGGGTCACAAATATCCATAAATACTGTTGCATAGACATTGCAAAATGTGGGGCAGCCTGATCTGAGTCTAGCTTTGTTGCTAGTTTGCTTGATACATGCTCCCCACTGACGCTCTTGCATGATCTTATTAAACTGACTGGGGGCAATGAACTGAAATTAGTCCATGGCTTAGGATATGAAAGAATCCACCACTGATTATGTCAGCTCTATTTCAGCATTATGTGTTTGGTTAGTTACAGTAGTATGTTGAAGTGTCTTCTTCTTACATCTATTACAGCTGTCCTTTCCCAGAAACATTCCAACTCTGTAGATTTCAATTATAACCGTCAGAGCATTTTTACAAATAAAAAAGGTCATGGAGTCATTAAAAACTCCCTGTGCAGTGGCCAAATATAGTCGGTATGCAAGAAATGGTCCATCTTGCATCCCAATCGTGATGATAACACTCCACATCTCATTGGTGCAGCATGATGGCATACTGCGACTCTTTTTGTCACTTGTTGATGGCGACTTTTCTGTGAGGCTTGTTGTATGGGATGCTGATGATGCCGTCTGTGTGAGCACTACTGTAAATTGCAGGATTGCCCAGGAAAAAAGGCACAAGCCAACAACAGCTACAGGCTTGTCAGTATTAATTTTTGACTCCTTGATTAGCTGTAAAACATCCAGTATGTCTGCCCCCAACGCAATGTAAGTCAAGAGAAGCTGACAGAGCTGGTCTCTGTTCATGTGACCTTTTGGCATCAACCAGCGTCCTATGACCAGGACCAAAATCAGTATCTCCTCCATGGCTTGAAGTTCATCTGAATATTCAGTGTAGACCTGGGAGAGAGCAAAATGGTAGTTTTTACTTTGGAGAAAAAAAACATATGTTTCTATATACAGTATGTGACTCTGAACTGAGAAGACTGAAGTTGCTTCACTTTTCAAAGCAGGCAGTTAAAAACACTTTGTTTTATAGACATTGGGTAGGGATTGGATATCCATACAGTATTCAACTTTTTAAAGTGTATGTGAGGCTAAAACATTTTTTGGTGTTGTTAGCTTTACCTAGAATAGGGAAGGGTAAAACCTCTGTTAATTTGTTTGCTTTTTGTGTCCCATTGGGTTGATTTTTCTTCACTTTCTGTTACAACAAAGAAGTGAGAGGAAATTTCTCCAAAGTCAGAAAAATCTGCTCTTAGAAAACAGTCACTAGAAAAAAAAAGCCTTTATAGAAAGATTTTAGAAAGATTTACCCTATCCTGTTCCAGTGACCACTATGAATTTTACATTTTCTCTCACAATCAGGGCCCATTCCGGTCTTGGCATCCTGGTGCATTTCACTGACACAATTTTTTTGGTGTGCTAACGTGTATTGTGTTAGGGTAGCCCATTCAAATAAATGGGGTGGCAATGCATCAAAACATCTAAAAATAACAAACATGAACTATTTTGGGTAATGCAGTGCACCACAATGCACAGTAGAGCATTAATCTGCATTGTGGTGTGCTGCAACGCATGTCACTTTAGAGTGACATTGCCTTTGTGCACGTTTATATGCTCAGAAGACCCCAGAAGTTACCTTTTATCTTGGTTTATCCATATTCTACTGTCAAAAAAAGTCTAAGGCCCCTTTCAGATGGTCCATACCTGTCAGCGCATCTGCCTGCTCAGCAGGGGATCTTTACGCTGATCCATGCTGAGAAGGTAGATGACAGGTCTGCAGAGCCCGCTGACTTCTATGGGGCAGTTTGTCCATTTCCACCTGACTGTCATCCAATCTGATCCGCCAGATGGAAGGGAACGGAACGTTTGTGGCGTACAGGATCAGATTGGATACCAGCGAGTGTCAGCAGACACATGTCCATTGAAACCCGCCGGTCCATAGAGGTCTATGCATAGTCCGATCGGGTCTGCCCGAAGAATGGACCATCAGTGTGAAAGGGGCCTAACCCAGCCAGTAGTCCCTGAGACCCATCCAGGTTGAGGTACATGTAAAAGAAAACTAGTGCTGAGAGAAAGATGAAGGCTGACCTCCTTTAAAAAATGCTGATTCCCTGATTGTGTCTGTCTTCAATTCTTTTTGAGTCACAAACCCAAAAGTAAAGTCAGAGAAAACTCAGAACTGATCTGCATATTCCTCCAGGCTTGTAATGCAGAAAATATTAAAGCTGAACTCTACGTACAGTAGATATACAAGACACAATTTAATACAACACCATAATCATTATTAGGTCAATAACTGCATTAATATAAATGAAATATCTGTAACTACCTGAATTTGACCTGGTATCAGTCTCTTCCAAACCCTGTACAGCAGAACTTGAGTGTAAGAGGAAGTAGCAGCACAAGAAGCCAATCAGTTTATGTGCTGACAAGCATGCTGATGGGAGGAGAGAGCAGAGAGACAGAAAGATTAGCTCATCACTGTGCTGCTTCTTCTTTCACTGCCCAGTTACAGGCAGCGGAGGGTTTAAGATGAAGGCTCAGAAAAAGTGGGTTAAATAATGCTGGAAAATTAATATTGCAGAGAAAGTTGGTTTTAAAATGTTATCTTTTAATGGGCTATTCAACTGTATCTAGTAATTTTTGCCTTGAGTTCCGCTTTTAAAGCTATTTTCAAAAGGAGGTCAGCATGGTAGTCTACCTATTTCTTTCAGTACAGATTTCCTTTAACTGACAAAAGGACATATTCTCAAATACCATCCAGTAAGTGTTCCTTCATTGAAATTGTTAGTAAAGCAGCCTAATCAATATCTCCACTGTAATGCTGATATTTTCTGCCTGTGTTTAGTTTTAAAAAAGATTGTTATAAATGTAGGCTTGGAATTTAGACAAAGCTCTTAAACTTGAATTCTTGTCACCTGATAAAAACCCAGTTTTGGTAGCCACCCATAGTATGGTTCTAATGCTCATTCAGGGCAAGGGCATGTAACAGACAGAAATACTTATCTGGTTCCTCACTCCTGCAGGCCTCTTCTCCACTCTTGCTCACCAGACAACCAGTCCTGAGAAGCTGTTTGCTGGTCTTGCAGCCACTTCCTAGCTCATATGCAATGAAGGTTTCAGAAGGCCAACATTCTAGAGCAGGGGTGTCAAACTGGCGGCCCTCCAGCTGTTACGAAACTACAAGTCCCATCATGCCTTTGCCTGTGGGAGTCCTGCTTGTAACTGTCAATCTTGCAATGCCTCATGGGACTTGTAGTTTGGCAACAGCTGGAGGGCCGCCAGTTTGACACCCGTGTTCTAGAGCTTAACGTGTTACTAAACCCACAACAGTAAAATCAGTCTGTATATGCAGTAAAGCATGCTTGTTATACTCACTGTGGAACCTAAGGGGTTAATCTCCACATTATTATTATTATTATTATTATACAGGATTTGTATAGCACCAACAGTTTGCACAGCGCTTTACAATGTGAGGGCAAACAGTACAGTTACAATACAATTGAATACAAGAGGAATCAGAGGACCCTGCTCATTAGAGCTTACAATCTAAAAGACATTGTGTAAAAAGGATGTTTGACCCTGTCTTCTCTGATCCTCCCTTTCTTCCAGTGTCTCCTAAATATCTCCTGATAGAACAGAGGCTCGAGGGCAAGCTGCACATGTTCAGTTTTGTGTGTGTTGCTAGAGAGTTTTTTTCTTGGGAGAGTGCATGTGATCAACACAGGGCCAATCAGCACTCTCCAGACAGAGGTCAGGGGTCCTGCAGCCTCCTACAGGAGAATGAAAACTCCTTCTACAAGCTGTAACCAGTGCTCTGCTGGACACTGATAGAAGTCACAAGACTGCTCCAACTGCTGATGAGAAAAGGTATTTAGCAGTTTATGTTTACTAAAATAATTGCACTTCCATGTTCTGTGTACTGTGGGAGACCAGATATAGTGAATGCAGAGCCCTGGGTTTAGTAATACTTTAAGCAAAGAAGAGTGTTGGCTTCCTCTCTGACATACCCCCTAGATTAAATCTGCAGTATAGCTTTACTATGGGGGGGGAGTGGGGGGGGGGGGGGTGCTACCAAAATGGTAGACCAGACTGACCTGAGTCTAAGTTAAAAATTTACTGGCCCTAAGTAAACTAATTATTTTTCATACCCAAATTTTAGAAACCAAAGCAACTTCAAAGTGCATATTCCAACACCCATGCACAAAAGTGTTATTTTTATCAGTTACTCTCAACAATTAATCAGGTTTTCCCTTTCATGTTTCTACTGCAGTAAATCACTGCAGCCTTGCTGAAAAAGCTACGTTTGGCTGGTTGCTAATGGCACAAGTTAATTTATTAACATAGTCTCAATTTTCTTTGCTATATATGTAAAAAATGTTTTAGGGCTGGTTCACACTAGATGGGACTGTTTGGCGGCTTTTCGAGAGCAGACCCACCGCATGGATAGCGGAAAATGTCTTGTCTTCTATGTGACTGGTTCACAACACTACGTTGCAGTGGTGTGCAGGCACAGTGCAATTACATTTTTTGAGATTTCTTTGTGACATTTCCATACATTTTGCTTAAAAAAAGGAAACATCATCAGTGTGCTGAGCTCAGATGGATTGCACTGCACACCATCCACTGTGCTGCAATGCAGTGAACCAGCCCTAAGTCCTTAATGATTGAAAAAGGCAATTACGTCTCCTAAATGATGCAAATGTAGTAAGTTACCTAAATCCAGCAAGTTTCAAACTTCCTGTAGTTTGCTGACAACGCTACCTCTGCTGCAATAAAATCCCAAATAGGGTTGTCTTCCTTTTACTTCCGGTAGAGGAGAACTTAGACAGGGCTGACAACACTGCTTAGGATTTCAGTGTGGCAGATGCAGTGTTGTCAGTCTTCTAAAAATAGGAGCTCTCTGAATTTCTGACAGATCAACATGTAATTTTATGTACTTGCAGTATTATCAAAACATAAGGAAATATACATGTTTTTCAGAGATACAGAGACATACATTCTACCTAATAGAGGTCTGTAGTTAAAAGATACATACACTGTCCATACACGCATGATGTGTCGTATTGCCTAATCCCATTCTGAAATCTAGGAGATCCAGTTCCATGATAAAAATCGGTGGAAGAACGGAAAACAGATATATAAACACCATGGGGGAAAACCTAGAACAGAGCAGATGTAGGTCACTACTATAGCACAGTTTTAGACTTGCTTACAACCATACGAAGGTTCTTTTGAAACACAAGAGGCACTGCCATTAGGTGCAAGAAGGCAAGATTGTGCTTTTCTGCTAAAACATTCCTGTATTTGGTGCCATAAAACCATGAAGTGCCCCGTCCATTCATTTTAGCCTTATGGCCTAAGCGGACTGGTGGCTTATTTTGTGTTTTTGGGACTCCAGCAGAATAGTATTGTAGCTGAATGCCTGCCAGTTGTGTGCTCTTCCTTCCACTCATTCCCCCCCCCCCCATGTACAAAGACAGTGCAGATGTATCTTTCTATCCCTACTGCAGCTGCGCCACTGGCTGTGAGCAGAGTGGACTGTGTGACAATTCTCCGCTCGCCCCATTTCCTCCTGGCAGCAGCAGAGCCGGAAAGGAGGAGACTGATAACATGGCAACTACATGGGACACTGGAATATGTAGTCCTGGAGGAGCACTGCTCGGGGGGGGGGGAAGCAATTACAAACTACAGCTCCCAGAAATCCTTGCTGACAAAAGGAGGAGAGACAGGACTGTTCCTAGACAATTCTAGAGAGGTCAGGGTCTTTTGCCAGGGGGAGAGTGTACAGACCTGCCATTTGGATCTGCCAGAACCCTCCAGAGAGACTGTTATAGAGGAGATAGAGCAGTACAGGAACCAGAGTGTGCAGACCTGCTGCTGTGTCCTGAGCATCCAGAGAGCTGAGAGACTGAGCCACAGTCATTCATTGTGTCTTGGTACCAGAGCTGGGCAGACTCATTGCTGTGTGTGCCAACATGTGACTTGTGAAGACCAGGAGCGGACTGACCATTTGGGCACTTGGGCAATGCCCGAGGGCTCGGGGTCAGTAGCGGGCCCCATGAGATGCCCCTGGAACCTTTCATAGGCTTTTTTGGGTGTGGTTTGAGTGTGGGTGAGAACACAGGGGCCCCATGAGTTGTCAGTCCGCCCCTGGTGAGGACCTGATTGTGAGGACTGAGATTTCTGGGACAACTGACTGCCAAACATTTGGAACCGGACTTGTTGCATGCCAGGATTAGTGAATGAAACTACCAAGCTTAATTCCTTGCTGCACACAGTTAAAGCCAATAGCGACAGCCATACTTAGTGGCCCATCGGCCATCCATTGCATGGTCCTAAAGTGACAGCTCCACATACAACAATGTCAGATGTCTTAACATTGCACAGTTGGCAATAGGTATCACACAACCACCTTCCAGGGGTGCTCCATTCAGGAACACTTACACATACCCACATCTCATGGTATCAATAGAGAGTGAACTCCAGGACACTTTCTTGGATTGGCTATTGCAGAGTTACTGTGAGACTTCCTTTACTGTCATTTTATACCTCACTGTTTATGCTGGTCCTTAATAATGCTATGGAACGCCCCTCATGTTAACCCCTTCCTGCCCAGTGCAATTAGTACAGTGTCAATGCTTTTTAGCACTGATCACTGTTTTGATGTCACTGGAAATGTCAGTGGCACCAAGTCAATTCCCCCCAGTGTTTGAATGCCCACCGCAGTCCCACTATAAGTTGCTGATTGCCGCCATTACTAGTAAAAATGGAAAAAAAAATTCCAGTATATACAGTATTCCGCCATTTGTAAACGCTATAACTTTCCCTTAAACCAGTTAATTTACAGGTATTGGGATTTTTTTTTAGCAAAGACATGGAGCAAAATGCATTTTGGCTTAAATTTATGACAAACCCTGATTTTTTAAAAATTTTTTTTACTGGACATGTTTAACAGCAAAAAGTAAAAAATGTTTTTTTCTCAAAATTGTTGTTCTTTTTTTTTATAATGCAAAAAATAAAAAAACGCACAGGGGATTAAACACCACTGAAATAAATCTTAATTCATGGGGAAAAAAAAGGATGTAAATTTCATTTGGGTGCAGTGCTGCTTGACCGCACAATTATCAGTTAAAGTAACGCAGCGCCGTAACGTAAAAAATGGCCTGGTTGGGAAGGGGGTAAATCCTCTGGAGGGCAAGTGGTTAATGTGGTTTAGTTTAATTGCCATACTTAAGGCTAACATTCAAATTAGTCTACCGTACTCTAACATGATTTTTGACTGTTTATTGGTTTATGCCTTGTATTACCTTGCCTTAAGTTAAGCCCAGTTGCTTGTGGCCTATTTTCTGTTCACTATAGAGTGGTAGCCTACTAACACGTAAGTCACACAGATGTGAGCAGCCTTCAACCAGGAGTGTCAGTGGGGATCAAGCAGTTTAAAGAGTTGTGGCAGAACAGAGAAACCATTATACCAAGTGGCTTATGCAGTGATAAACACTACAGCATTGTACTTCTTAGTTCTGTTTCCAACCACCTTTAAGATTACAGGTTCCAATCTTCCTTGTGGTGTTGGTGTACCTTTTTTATCTTTAAAGGATAAGTTTACTTTTTCACAAAAAATAAAAAATAAATGCACATATTTTTGCATGTGGAAAAAAATGTGCATTAACTATTTTATTAAGACTCTGGAAAGCATTGCATTAGCGATCAGCAGATCTCTGTTGCCATGCAGGGCTCCTGCAGACTGTCGGTGTGAGCTGCCAGCCCATACATTGTACAGGCAGGTAGTTTCACACATAGAAGAAGAATCAATGAATTACCACAGTGGTAGTTCATTGAGAACTACAAGCCGACAGTTACAAAGGCCGTCGGGACTTGTCCTATCCCATTCAAATGAACTCTGTGAAAGAATGAATGATGCAGCTGCCCAGCTAGCTGGAGGAGAAGGTTCTCTGCTAGCTGCCACAACAGGGGGAATCAGGGGAGTGCAGGGGCCAGTGTTACAGTAACATGCTACATGTTCCACCCTGAATATGAGTATAACATGTAACATGTTATGAACTGTGTTTAACTATTTTTCTACAGGCCTGATATTCCTTGAATCTAAGGCTCACACTATACATAGGGCCTCAGCTTCTGAACTGACTCAGAGTTCATCTAAAACCCCTATTTATAAAAAGTCATTTTCAAGGCACGTTAAATGTTTTAAAATAAATGTGCCGTACTTTACCTCTTTTGTTAAGGGTAAATGCAAATGCAGACACTGGATTTCCCCTGCACCCCTCTAAAGAGTGCTAGAGATGGTGGGAGAGGACAGGGTTTTTAAATCTCTCTAAACTACTGCAGATAGAGATGTGCTGACAATCTAAATATGTGTGTGTGAAGCTAGGCAGGGATATTTACTGATAGAGCTTCCAATGGTGCCAGCATCTAAGCTGCTACAACAGCGGCAAGGATAGCATCACTGCATTGATTTCAATGCAGTAGAAAGAGTATTAGCACCCTATGAAAGGAAGTGCTTATCCAATGGTTTTATTGATAGGGTGAACAGATATTTACAAAATGTTCCAGGTGATACTTAGGAAAACAGGGAGCCTGGGCATTCTTGTATGGGCAGTCAACATCACAAATGTGCTTTTATAGTTTGATCACTGTCCTACTTTAAAGCAGAAATCTGGGAACATTTTTTTTGTCCGTGTAGTGGGGCTACGCCCACACTGTACAGGTTAAATGCTCATTTTGTTCTAGGAGAGAGGACACCGAAGATATACTCATCTGACCCCGCATAAGACCAGTCCTTTTAACTCCCCCCCCCCCCCCCGTGGTACAGTGGTCTTGTTGTGGCAGCACCCAAGGTACAGTGGTCTTGTTGTGGCAGCACCCAAGTATTACAGAGTTCCCCTTTAAACTTTAACATTTCTAACAGCCTCTGTTTGCAAAAACAAGGTCATCAGCTCACTTCCCCCTCCCTTATTTCCTATGAAGTAATGTGTTCCAGTCTGTAGCTGGTATTCTTATCTGTAGCAGAAGATAAATTATCTAGCAAGGCTATATTCTGAATTGCTTGGAAAGCCTTTTGAATGTACAGAAAGTGAAAGAGGAAATATATGTATTGTGACGTAATTGCTGATATGTATACTCTGTGAGATGTTTTTCAAGCAACTTAGCTTGCTGGCATGAGCCCTTGCTGGGCCACTCAGCGCTGATTAATAAAAGTTTGTTTTCCTCAAGTCTGTGTCCAGAGCTATATCCGGTATTCCCAAAGTTGCTACTACATTGAAAATGAACTGCTGCTAAAATCAGCACACTCAATGCACGCTACTCAGACAGGAACAGTCCACCGCTGGACCATGGGGGAGCGCGGTTCTCAGTAGGATTGATGGGTCAGGTGAGTATGAGCTTAGTTATCACCCCTAGAAGAAAGGAGCAGCTGATCCATGCAGTGGGGGGCACAGCCCCACTGCATGGTAAAAAAAATAATAACTTGTGTTCTGCTTTAAATTGGTGTTGGTTACTGAGGCTTTTACATTGGACCACTGAATGGACGTTTCAGAGTGGATCGGACTTGTTTATTTACCCCCAGCAACTGAAGCTCAGGGCTTTTTTCATATATTTACAAGGTAAGCGTTACTTGTTTGCAAAAAAACCTGTTTACAGACCTGAATAAGTGAAGGTAAGATGATAAACACATATAATGAGCAAGGCTAGGTTTGCATCTATTCATGTGCTCTTTCATCCTTTTTTTAAGCGCATTTTTTAATATGCATGTAGTACATTAATATGTGTTTGTATTATAATATTGGGCATCAAAGCATTTAAAAATTCACTGATAATCAGGCATGCCTCATTTTTAGCAGTGGAAGCACACAGATGTGAATAGGCACATTCAATGTATTTTTATGGCACATACATTTTTGTGTGTTCCAAAACACACATAAAAATGCAAAAATGTGAACCAGGCCTGAAGGAAGTGTTTATCTCATCTCCCTCACTCTCTGCTTGGCTCTCTGCTTGAGTTTCTGAAAAGTATGAAACAAGTTACTGCTAATCTTTCTCTTTAGAAGACTCTGCAAAGATGAGTGTACCCTATATTAAAGGTATGCTTGTAAAATA